ATATCTACGTTAAGGTAGCCAGTTGCCACACTGGCACACTGCACTGCAGCGGTAGCGGTGGCGGTGGCGGTGGCGGTGGCGGTGTCGGCAAAATGAAGCGGGACACAATTTTACCGCCACCGCCAAGACAAAAGAATTTTACCGCCACCGCTGCAGTATGTGGCGACCCTTAGAGAATTACTTATTTTTCGTGATTGATGACCTATATATAGTTTGGGTTGGGCTACACTTATTTTTGGGTTGTATTTTGTATACCATGATCAGTATTCAATTGGTTTAGTATGTATAAGTAATTAAAATGTCTAAAAATAATATGATATACCTACTATATATGTTTAGACGGTTTAGGCGTAGATCAGTAGCTACTATTACCTATATATTACATGTGATAAAGGTCAAATAATGCATCGAGAGGAAGTGCTTAAAATTATAGATAATAAATAATAATAACTATTATATTATTATTATTATAAATTATGATAAACATATTTAAATAATTATATTTTAACGGTTTATATTATTATAATAAGTAAACAAAATCATTACATATTTTTATTTTTATTAACATTAAAATAAAATGTTATGTGTGAGCTTTTTAAATTAAGTAATTTTAAGGCTTGTATAATTTATAAGTTTTAATATTTGACGTCGAAGCGTCGAGCCTTTAAAAGTTACATATGAGGAGTAAACAGTAATATTTTTTAAACTTTAAAAACTATTTGTTAGACCATCAGTCGTCAGCTTCATACATTCATGATAAATTTTTCTATCACAAAATACTGACCTGAGGTCATCTCTCATCATGATTTGATACTTATGTTGCTATAATATATTAATATAATAATATGTGTTTAATTATACAGTCTATACTTATTATTATAGAGCTTGCATAAGGTATTACCGGTATAATCGGTATATGTAAGATCATAAGTTATAATTATATAATATACTTATAGTTTTTAAATATTTATCTTTAGGTATATAAATGTTTAATGTGTATTTTATAGGTATATACTTTAGTTTTTTAGACTTTACTCTTAATACCTAAAGTCTACAAACGCATACACACCTTGTTACATTATATAAAAAGTAGTAAAATACCCATCTATTTAGAAACTATACGTTAGTCATAATTTAACGGTGTTTGGTAAAAGTTTAAAGATAAAAGGTCTATATAATGTATAGGTATATAATAATTAATAAACTCATCACACAACTAAATGTCTAAATAGCTGAAACCAAATCCGCATGATATACCTAAGTATACGWACAAAATAAAATTACTTCATTCGAGGCGAAAGACGATTGTTTTATATTGTAAAGAGCAGATATTATATGATATGTCTGTAGAATTTTTCATACAATTATATCATACGAGTAGCAACCCTCGAAACAAACGGGGTAATAAAAAAAAAGCGTTTATAGTTTTAGGTAGGTACGTTGTTATGGCTATTGCAGTCTAATACTTATCAACTACACTATATTATATTATAAAAGTATACAATATACGTATATATGGTACCTATATGTAATTATGTTGACAATCGAATGTACAAAAACCCTATTTTGGCGTTATATATTTAAGTAAAACTCTGTAGTAATTTCACCCTGAAATAAAATTCTAAATATTTTTATAGGTACGTAAAATACCCWCCACATCTATTATATCGATTTTAATCAACTACTTTTAGTATTTATGATCATTTTTTTTTTTTTAATTGGTATTTTATGGACAAAAAACAGCACCTATACCAATAAGGTGCAAGTTTTTATAATTATTGTAAAAAAAATATCTTTATACCGTATTAATTACGTTTATACTCAGATACGACATAAACATTTTTATTTATTTTATATAATTACAATATTTTAGCCTATAGGTATGTTAGATATATTATATTATGATAGGTAGCTATACTAACATAATATTGTCCATCTCATTCAAACAATTTCAAGACGAAAAAAAAWATAAGAAGGTGAATAAGAATATTAATAACAATTTGACCTTGAAGTATTTGTATAGAAATAACCAAAATAAGACCCAGTTGTGTCAAAATGAAGTTTTTATAAAATATAACGTAGGTAGTATTATGTAATTATGTCTATAGAATATAGATAATATAAACAAGACGAATGTTTGATAAATATAGTTGTATATACTATATAGGTACTTGGATATTTATGAAYGATAATGTAAATGTTCAAGAGAAAGTTTATAAAAAATTTGGAGCCCTAATATGGACATAGAAAAATATTTAATTATAAAATGAACTAATTAAGTATGATGTACCTATAGGTATTGTGTGTAGCTTATATGCAATTTCTATAAGTATATTAGAAGTATAAATAATCAAGAACGTAATTTGAACAATGCATTTTTATTTATTTATAATTTAAATAGGTGTGGACGTAATTATTTTATTAATTGATTATTCTATTTTTTTTTCTCCAGATTAAAATACAAATGTAAGCTCGGACAGAGATTACCTTTTTTATTGTATACTATWGCTGATTATTTTTCCAATGAAATATAATAAGGACGACACAACTGAATCGYCTGAATCTAAAAATAATTATAGTGTAGTATTAACTTAATTTAGGCACMCAAATAGATATTCCATCATATCCAAAATAATAAAAATATAAACTGAAACTTATATTAATATAAACAATCTATTTATTTATTAATGAATCGTTTAAATAACAAAATTCCAAAACTTTAAAAAAAAAAAACAAATAATTGTAAGAAATCATGCTCAAATAATAAGAAATAGAGAAATACAAATGAATCTATGTTAAATACATTGCTGTCGACTTATAAGAGGACGTTACCTATGCATTTGTTGTCTCCGTCTTAACAAATGTAAAACATAATTTTTCCTTCAATAGTTTCAATAGTTGCTGTTATAGTTTTGATATTATAGAGTAAATTGACCTAATATCAAATTTTTAAGTAAGAACATTAAATGKGCCCAAGCGATGATTTTTATTCAATATTTTAATTTAAAGCAATATATATTATATTATATTACTTGAAAGTCATAATTTGTTTTTGATATTTCACATTCACATATTATTATCCATATCTTGCTAGAAAATAAAAATATTAAAAATCTCCGGTGCTTAACAACAGATAATATTTTATCTAAAATACTGATAATATAGATCAATTTACTCTAATATCAAAATTAACAAGACATTATTGAAACTAGTGAACGAAAAATGTTTCATTATGTTGTACGTTTGTAAGACAGAGATAACACGTATAATATATGTATGATGTATACCTAGCATCCTCTTAAAACAATTAATTTTGAAATTTAAATTTATATAGATAATTTTACGCAGCAGTTGTAACGAATTTTAATAATTGTTAATGATATGATAATTAAAATTAAATAATTTTTCGAGAATAATGAGAATTGTTTCCTCGTGGTATCCTCATCTGGATAATGCTTAATGGTTTTCAAAAATTTTAAATATTATAAGGTAAATAAATTATAGTAATTAGTAAACATAATATGCTAAAAGATTAGGATAATATGTTTTTTATTCCAGCTGAGTTATTTATTACTTTATCAGTTATTCATACCTGAAAACTATCAGGGCAAAGTTTACAATAAACCTTTTGAATAGGGCCACCTCAGTGCATCACACTGAAATAAATTTGTAATTTTTTWAAATAATTTTGATTTTATAATTCGTACTTATTTTTTAAAGTAATTTTATCATTTTAAGCTATCGGTTAACTGTTGTTACCTGGAAATCGCGTACGGCCATATTATGGGACACCCGTACAATTGAAATGGGTATTTAAAATATTTAGTAACAATTATAATTGTAATGGGTAGTATCTTATTTGAAGTTTTGTTTAGGGATCTTAAAAACATTTAGTGCAGGGAACTAACGTTCGATATGGGAAGAAGGAGCTGCTTATGCACATTTATTTTTCTTGGGCCGAGTTTCAATCGTCCGATTAATAAAGTATAGCTGTATACTGTAGTCTGTATTGGTATTAGGTAGTTTAAACTGATTCTTAGCTTCAAGAGGATAGTAGCATATTATACTGAACAATTATTTTTGTTATTAATAACTAATATTATTATAATAATTTATAAGGTAATTAATCTATTCAAGAGAATATTGCAGTTACCAACACGGACTAAGATGTCTAGTCCGTCAGTTCCTATAATATCCACACTTACCTAACAAGGGTATTTAAATCATAATGTTGTTTTAATCAGTATCCTGTTTCTACCTACGTAAGTAGTAAGCATAATAAATTTTATGGATTTATTAAGGCTGATTTATGAAATAGGTATTGTAAACCGTTAAATGTAATTGCTTACATCTAACAATGGTGTATCGTGTATGTATTGAAGTCATATCGGTAAGATACATAAACACGACAATAATATCAGGTCATCATAATATATTCATAACTAATCTAAACAGCAGAATTAAATTCCAAAATAATACCGTGCTAGAATWATATTTTTCTTTGAAAAAATCAGCAGACTAAAGAGTAAAGAGTCGTGAGTGGAGCGATAGAGATAGAGATAGAGCGAGAGAGAGTGAGAGAGAACAGTTTTGTTAGCACTTTTAACGATCGAATACGTTTTTTCTATATTATTTCCGTTAAAGGATAGTGCGTAGGGAGAACTGGGAAGTGGGGAAGCAGACGGCGGCATCGGGGCAGACATCGTCGTAAACAATCGTTTTGAATGCGGAGCGGCGAGCGCACTGCGCGGCGGCGGTGCGTTGGCCGACGCCCAAAACGGCGAGCGGCACGCGATTAACGATTGGGTTATTCAAATTCAAAAACGACAATTCGCCGTGCGGAGGGTAGATGGAAAAAATCAAAGGAAATAACGAGAAAAAATCGTTATTTTGGCGTGCTTATGTTGGCACCACTGTAGCAATCAGCCAATCGGAACGCTGCTAGGGCGTCGGCTGGAGCGGGGTTGCTGGTGCATCGCCAACGCCACAAAACCGACAAAACCCGCGCCGTAGCCATTTTATTTCTCTGTAGCGTTTGAGACGGTCGCCTTACTGTACCTCAACTATCTCAAGCTTCTCGTTCAAGCATTTTTAATTTTTTAATTTTTTATACTTTATACTTTAAACATGAGGGAGATCGTACACATTCAAGCCGGTCAATGCGGTAACCAAATTGGAGCCAAGGTAAATATTATAAAAATTATAATAAACGACGCAGCGTTCGGTCTGATTACTGGCTCAAACATGGCGGTCGGGTCAAGATCGCAGTATCTTCAACCGGTGTTTTTTCCTATACGTTTTCTTAACTAGTATCTTCGATTACTGTTCGGTTAACGAAATTAATATTTCATTTTTCGTACTCAGCGTTACTCCTTACGTCCGTTACCATATATGCTCGGTTTTATTTAAATCGGTTTTTAAACCTTAGCGTGGCCAGGTTTGAAAGTCAAACAGTGTTAGTGAAAAGTGTAAACAAAGGATGCATGTCTAGAGATGATYCGATCTGTGAGAAAATCGTAACCGTGTGTGAATCGCCTACATTTYCTTTATTATTTTCATTGATTTCTTAATGTTTGCCATTAAATATAGTTTATCTTAAAATAAATTAAAAATGTGTTTTTGGTTATGAATAACAATTTTAATTTTGAAAATGCCTTAACTTTCTGCTGATAACATTAATTTTGTTATGCATTTTTACTAGTTTCATGTTGGACAATTTAATTTAATTGGTACTTATTAAGTAGATTCCACTTTTGTTAATGATTTGTATGCCCCAAAAAATAAATAAAATATTCAAATTACCWTTAGTTCAAGGCAGTCTGTTTATGTGCCATTCTAATGTATATTTTTTGACATTTTTCTTTGTAAAGGTAGTAGGTATAGCCATATAGGTTACCATATGATTTAACTTTTGACTGGTTTTTTATATTTTATGCATCATAAGTCAACCGTAACAAAATAATTATAGGTACATTTGTATGTATTGTTACTAAAARATGTTTTATTTCCTTAACCCAATTAATAAAAGTATGAATGAAAAAAAATATAATTATTTTGAACATATATATAACRAAGATCTTAAAATAATCTGATATAATTTTTGATTATAATTATCTTAAAATCTTAACCTTTTTTTATATTATCTAAGATATATACAAAACCTTTATATATTGCCCTTCAACATGTATTTTATATTTAATATATTTTTCAGTTCTGGGAAATTATTTCTGATGAACACGGCATTGACCCAACTGGAGCCTACCATGGAGATTCTGATCTTCAATTAGAACGTATTAATGTATACTACAATGAAGCATCAGGTAATGTATTATTTTATGTTGTATTTCAAATTAAAATAATTTATTAACTAATAAATAATTTAAAATTTAGGTGGAAAGTATGTACCTCGTGCCATTTTGGTTGATTTGGAACCTGGTACCATGGACTCCGTCCGATCTGGACCATTCGGTCAAATTTTCAGACCAGACAACTTTGTCTTTGGACAATCAGGTGCTGGAAACAATTGGGCTAAAGGTCATTACACAGAGGGTGCTGAGCTTGTAGATTCAGTATTAGATGTTGTCAGGTAATTTTTTAATTACTAGCATATTATTTATATAATCTATTATTTTGACAACATACGATTTTACTTGGCAATTATACTGATTGAGATTCAATTTATTTAAAAAAAAATATTTTTAATATTCATTTTAAACAATTAAAACAATRTTTTTATACATCTATTTATACTTAATTTATAACCATGATATTAGAAATTTTATTGATGATTTTTAATTGTAATGACCCAGTATTAAATGCAATCATAATATAATGATTAATTTTATATTTTATGGTTTTACGTCAGATAATAAATTAAAAAATTATGGTATTGAGTTTCTAGATAGTAATTGTTTTTTTTTCTTTTAGGAAAGAAGCTGAGAGCTGTGATTGCCTCCAAGGTTTCCAATTGACACATTCCTTAGGTGGTGGTACTGGTTCTGGTATGGGAACCTTATTGATCTCCAAAATCCGTGAAGAATACCCAGACAGAATTATGAACACGTATTCTGTTGTACCCTCTCCAAAAGTATCAGACACTGTTGTAGAACCCTACAATGCTACCCTTTCAGTTCACCAATTGGTTGAAAATACTGATGAAACCTATTGTATTGACAACGAAGCGTTGTACGACATTTGCTTCCGTACATTAAAACTTACAACACCAACATATGGTGACTTAAACCACTTGGTCTCTTTGACCATGTCTGGAGTGACCACTTGTCTCAGGTTCCCTGGTCAATTGAACGCTGATCTCCGTAAACTCGCTGTCAACATGGTTCCTTTCCCCAGGTTACATTTCTTCATGCCTGGTTTTGCACCTCTTACATCTCGTGGAAGTCAACAATATAGAGCACTAACCGTACCCGAACTTACCCAACAAATGTTTGACGCCAAAAACATGATGGCAGCATGTGACCCAAGACATGGACGTTATCTAACAGTAGCGGCTGTATTCCGTGGCCGTATGTCCATGAAGGAGGTCGATGAACAAATGTTAAACATCCAAAACAAAAATTCGAGCTACTTCGTTGAATGGATTCCTAACAATGTTAAAACTGCAGTGTGTGATATTCCTCCAAGAGGTCTTAAAATGTCTGCTACATTCATTGGTAACTCAACAGCTATCCAAGAGTTGTTCAAGAGAATCAGTGAACAGTTCACTGCTATGTTCAGACGTAAGGCTTTCTTGCATTGGTACACTGGTGAAGGTATGGATGAGATGGAATTCACTGAAGCCGAATCTAACATGAATGATTTAGTATCTGAATACCAACAATATCAAGAAGCTACCGCTGATGAGGAAGCTGAATTTGATGAAGAACAGGAACAAGAAGTTGATGAAAACTAGACTTTTTATAAACATTTAGCTTTAAAATGTCATTTTTGTTACTTTTTATTTAAAAAAAAGTTCTGTATATTAATCCATTATTTTTTTATACTTAATGCTTTTTCATTCCATGATACATTTCCTTCATACTAAAAAACACTGCTTTTTTATTTTGAATTATTATAATTATTATAATTGAACAATATAGCTTTTATGAAATTAAAATTTAAAATTATTTTCAAGCACATGAACATGACTTGTATTTYGTTGTATTTCAATCCTTTCAGAGCTATTTTATTAAATATCTGTTAATCCACTTAAATTTTAACATAATAGTATCATAAAATCATAAATAAATGCTTATATGTATTTAACATTATGATGAAGATTTTGCTTCTAAWCTTAACATTGGTTTTAAAATGTCATATAGCAAATTGAAATATTCTTTGTAACTTTTTTTGTTTAGTTAAGGGAACTTTAGAATTTAGTTATTAATATAAAAATATCCAAAAAGTGGTTAGGGTCTCGGATTTTCAAATTAATGTCTAGTTCTCAGTATCAGCAACTTGTATTATAAATGATGGTTAGAATTCATTTCATTGGTCATTTCTAATTTGAATTATCTACTGTGGTTTGTTTGCATTAACCTATTAATCCAATAGGTATTTTAGTAGAATTTTCGAAAATTTTAAGCAAAAGTGAATAATACAATGTATTAGGTATTCAATTTGGTCATGCTTGGTTAATATTCAGGTTTGCTAATGGATTTTCATGCTACATACTATTAGGTATTAAGTGGAAGATTCCAGTATAAGTTTTAAATAATCACAAAAGTAGACAAATGAGCTGGAATAAATTTGTAGGAAGTTTAAATATATACAATATAATTCATTATTGAATGTTAAACAGATCAATATGACTAATGTGACCGTGCATCTTGCTTTCAAGTTAAGTATCCCGTTGTCCCCAAAGAACCTAAAAATATCTAGCTCTAAGAAAAGTTAACTTGMAGGATTTATTGATCACATATCTCAAAAATTCACTATCATACATATATACATAATATTTGATGTATATTGTAAAACACTAAAACCCATAATTTATAGATTGTTGGGAGCCTCAGTATTAAAAGCCATTCTGATAACAACGAGAAAAAGATTTCAAGAGTTCCATTCATACATTAAAAACAAACAGGCCACTTTAAAGCAGATCTGTGGATCCAACAAATATAGAAAATCAGCTTAATAATGTACTCTATTATTTAWCAATGTTTTATATTCTTGTGATATAGTATTGTAGTCTAGAATAATTTGATTTACCTATAAGGAGTGACGTACCAATATAGTACCACCATGCAAATCAAATTGAAGGAAAATATCTAGATAACTATGACAATAATATTTTTTTTTTTTATGTTCTTTCATGAATATGTGAGAATAATTTTTAATCCTAGAAAGGTACCTATTTAATTTAGTTTTAATTATTTTCAATAAAATAAGTAACATATATGCCCTATGTGCCAATATACCTATATGATAAAATATTGAATTTAAATCAAATATTATTTGGAGACTTTTTCCCGTGAGAATTTCATACCGGGGACTTTTTTTTTTATATCGAACCTAGGTATAGCGATTGAAAAAATAACTACAAGTCTACRAATTTAATTTCAAGRTATTGGTCAAACATTTTTAAATTTTTTATTGATAAAGAACTCGTAGTTTTTGAATCTATTATAACTCCAGATAAACCAACGCGAGTTAAAAATATAGTAACCAGATATTAAAATTAGGTATCAGTTTAAATAACTATATGCGATCTATATTATATTATAATCAATAATTATATCGAAGTCCCATCCTCCCATCATTTCCAACGAAGAAGAACGTAGGGTGTATACGTAGTCTCACTCTTATCATTTTTCAGTTGATTCGCTTATCTTGTTGTGTTTTATCACAGCACAGATTTTTTTCAAAGTTTTCCCACGTAAACGGCAGCATCTCCAACCTACCAAAGAGCTTTGRAAATAGAATAGCTTATAAACTCTCAATATAGTCTTTTCCGCCGAAAACAGATAMACCTTTAWTAAGATTTAAGAGGACGCTACACCTTCGTCATGTGTTTTCTCCGTCGTACAAGTGCGTAGCATAACAAATTTTACGCTCAGCAAATCTCGTTTATCTCCTTCAATTTAAAATTTAGAGTGAATTGWCTTATCATAAAAATTAAAGGCAAGATTAATGATTATTACCTATGGCATCTCATGGGCTTTTTATTGTATTTTAATTTTAAACCGAGTTATGAGTATTTTTAGATATAAAAATAATTTACAATTTTAAATAATAAAAAGCCTATGAGATGCTCTCTGCAATAATCTTGCCTTTAATTTTTATGATAGGTCAATTCACTCTAAATTTTAAATTGAAGGAGATAAACGTTATCTGCTGAGCGTAAAATTYGCTATGCTACGCACTTGTACGACGGAGACAACACATGCGGGTGTGGCGTCCTCWTATATTATAAATTATTATTTCTCACGAAAAGGAACTTCACTTAGTTAATATTTTTAACATTAGAACAAACAAATAATTCTTAAGATATATAACAATTTCAATTTTAAAAATACTCATAACTCGCATCRAAATTAAAATATAATAAAAAGTTTTTGTGATAACCTAGCTAGATGGTAATGTGACCTTTAATTTTTATAAGAGGTCAATTTATTCTAAATTTTAAACTAATGGAGCTAAATTGGAACTGCTGAGCGTAAAATTTGCTGAATTGCGCACTTGTAAGACGAAGACAACACATGCGAGTGGACGAGTGGTGTCCTCTTAAAGTTATTTAAGTCTTGAATGAAAAATAATAATAACGTTTTATGTATAGGTATTGATTTTTTGATTCCACCATGGCACCATTATTTTCAACTCAACAATAATTAGATATTTATTGTACTAGATACAATTTCTCAACAATAAACAAGTTGGTAGTAACCTCCAACCGCTCTACTGGTGTTGTGTGAATGACTGTATGACGTATATGACTATATGAGTATATTATGTGGTATATACTCATCATTGAGTGGACAGTTAGGTCAGTGTAATGGCTTACGAAAACAATTCTGAGCAGAGACGCTATGTCAGGTGTCAGWCGATGTAATATTTYTAATTACATTTTTAAAATACTACTCATATACCTAATGATATATATATACACATATTATATAATCAGTGGAGTGTACCCAAAAAAAAAATTGGTGTTGCTCAAATAATTTTAGGTGACCTAACTCTTATACTTTTGTTATGCCTAGTACCTACTGATAAAATGTCGCTAAATTGTATTCCTATTATATTTAATGTAATACTAATTTAATTTAGTAAATTACATTTTTGAACTAGTTGTGAATCGGTTTTGAAAAAAAATATATAAATAAAAAAA